TTCCAACAGAGCCAGCTAGGTGCCCCTAAATTATTTTAAGTTGCCATGGAAAAAACAGGCTATATAAACTCAGTGGCAAGTATAGGAAGTAATAGGTTGAATTGTGTCCCCCCAAAAGATATGTTGTAGTCCTAACCCTCAGTACCTCAGAATGTGACCTTATTTGGAAATACGGTGGTTGCAGATATAATTAGTTAAGATGAGCTCATACAGGCCTAGAGTGGATCCTTAATCTAATATGACTGGTATATTTATGAGAAGAGACACAGACACACAGAGAGGTGACCGCCATGTAATGATAGAGGCAGAGATTGATCGGAGTGATGCATCCACAAGCCAAGGATTACCAACAAACTCAGAAGCTAGGAAGGGCAAGGAAGGATTCTCCCCTACAGGTTTCAGAGCGGGTGTGGCCCAGCTGACACCTTGATTTCAGACTTTGAGTGCCCCAAACTGAGAATCTATTTCTGTTGTCCTAAGCCATCCAAATTTGTACAGATTATACCCTCAGAATTTAGTGTTAAGAAAAACAAAGCTGTGAGGCGCCTGGATGGTTCAGTCGGTTAAGCGTCCCACTCTTAATTTCAGCTCAGGTCATGATCTCAGGGTCCTGGGATCCAGCCTTGCTACGGGCTCCCTGCTCAGTGGGGGTTCTGCTGCTCCCTCTGCCTCTGCTCCTTTCCCCACTTGTGTCCTCTCTCTCTCTCTCTCAAATAAGTAAATAAAATCTTAAAAAAGAAAGAAAAAAGAAAAGCTTTTTCTAACTTTTGGTGGAGCCCAGGAAATCACTCAGTCTTTGAAAATTGCTTTTAATTTATAGCACTGAAGCCTTGAGTAAGTATGATTAATATTGCCAATAGAGGACCCTTACAATATGTTTTCAAGACTAATATCTTCTTTGTCAGCAATCACAATTAGGTGGGAGTCCATCTTAGGTAAGCCAAATTGTCCCTGACCCTTGATTCTTGTTTTCCCAACCAGACCAAGAAAAATGTCAAGGACATGCTCAAGGGCAGTATTATAAACAACGTGACCAACAGCTGGGAAATTATTGTCTGAGCTTCTCAGTCTTCTATAGCAAAGACCTATGCTAAAAGTCTCTTGCGTTTGGGAGAAACAGCTTGTGACAGAGTGAATTTGACAACTCATGGACATGTCTTCTCATGTTCTCATGGGAGGTGTTTCATCAAGATGTGAAGAGTTGGCCATCAAAATGGAAAGCCACATATTCTACAGAAGCAGTAGAGTGGGTAGAAAATGCCCTCTGATCCAAGAGGCCTTGAGCTTGGGGCGCCTGGCTGGCTCAGTCGGTGGAGCATGAGGCTCTTGATTTCAGGGTTGTGAGTTCGAGCCCCACGCTGGGCACAGAGCTTATGTGAAAAAAAAAAAAGAAGAAGAAATGAGAGGCATCAAGCTTTTAACTAAGATGAATAGGACCTGGAGAGTGGCACTATTTAACTCACGGTTCTTACCTCTCCCAGTTGGTATGGCCACATCCAGCCTAGAGGACATGATAGGCTCCCCACTAGATCATACCATCTGACAAGAGAGTGGAACACAATGGATCCCGGCACATGTGTGTTGAAAGGCTGCAGAATATGGTAAAAGGAGCCTTGAGCTCCAGCTTGGGCTGGAAGTCAGAATCTAGCATTGCCTCCTCCAACTAGAGGAGCACATTTCATACCTAATGTGCTTTAGAGCTCACACCCAACTCTATAAATAAAGGAATTGTCCACATTTTACTCAGACCAGTAAAATAGACCAGGTATCTGGCTCCCAAACTCCTACTTTTTTTTTTAGATTATTTATTTATTTATTTGAGAGACAGAGCACAAACAGGGAGAGCAGCAGAGGGAGAGGGAGAAGCAGGCTCCCCGCTGAGCAAGGAGCCAATTCAGGGCTGGATCCCAGGACCCCGGGATCATGACCTGAGGCAAAGGCAGAATCCTAACCGACTGAGCCCCCCAGGCACCCCCCAAACTCATACTCTTTTTTTTTTTTTTAAGATTTTATTTATTTATTTAACAGAGACCACAAGCAGGGGAAGCGGCAGGCAGAGTGAGAAGCAGCAGGCAGAGGGAGAAGCAGGCTTCAGGGAGCCCAATGTGGGGCTTGATCCCAAAACTCTGGGATCTTGACCCCAGCTGAAGGCAGACGCTTAACCAACTGAGCCACCCAGGCGTCCCAACCAAACTCATATTCTTTTTTTCTTTTTTAAAGATTTTGTCAGAGAGAGAGAGCACAAGTAGGGGGAGCGGCAGGCAGAGAGAGAAACAGGCTCCTTGCTGAGCAGGGAGCCCAATGCAGGGCTGGATCCCAGGACCCTGGGATCATGAGCTGAGCTGGAGGCAGACGCTTAACGACTGAGCCACCCAGGCATCTCCCAACCAAACTGATATTCTTAACTATAGTACTGTACTACCTCAGTTCTTCTCATATGTGATATAGGGATAATTAGCATTATCCAATATCCCTTGGGATGTTGAGAGGATGAAGTACAAAAATAGATGAGACAATACTTTGGGAAAAGCTTTTAAAGGCCTATACATGTGTGTTATTCTTGCATCATATAAACCAATCAGTTTGCATTGTTAAAACTAGTTTGGTTTTAACCAAAGGCCTTAGATCACATTTATTATTAATACCTGATCAGAGATTTCTTTTGATCATTGGCCCCATTGATGGTGGGCTTGGTAGCTACCTCTGAGAAATGATGTTGGTTCCATGTCTCATCTACCCGCAACTATTAACATCTGTGTGATAGCAGAAATTTCATCTTATTCATTGGAGATTGCCTTGGAACAGTGCCTAACATAATAGATACTCGATAAATATTTGTGAAGTAAATCAGAACTAATCTCCAGCATCCAGCATGGTCCCTAGCATCTTGTAAGCCTTTTGACAGATATGTAACAGTTTAACTGACCGAGATTGGGTGGCTACTATGAAACCTGGAAGTGATCTGGAAGAACTCAGTCTATATCCAGAACGAGAATAGAACTGGATTCTGAAAAGGAGCCTAGAACAGTGTCCTAAGAGCCACCATCATTTACAAATATTTACTTGAAAAGAATCCTATTTAGGGGAGCTTCTAACACATTGAATAACAGTATAATGCATGCATTAATTCATTTAAATGCATTTACCGCCTTTGACTACTTCTTCTCCCTGGCAAGTAAAAATTCATCCCCAAGTACACCAGTGAACAAATGAGACATAGTGGAAGGCAGATTTGGTTTGATTTGTCCGTTGGTCCTAGCTGCTAGCAGTTCATTAAACATTCTACACCCCAGGGAGATAGCTAATCTCTAGTTGCCAGAGGATGTATACTTGATGCTGGTCAAGGTAGTAACTGCACTAACCTGCATTTTGCTACTTTCAGGAGTACCAACCTCTTGGTGGAGACCTAGCCCCTTCTTGCAGTGCTTGGAAACCTAAATTTGATTGCTCATTAACTACAGATTACCTACTTGCTCTTATTCAAGTGTTTAATCACTAGAGATAGCTAGCTACTCTGAATATCAAAAAACCAGTTGTGGGGTGCCTGGGTGGCTCAGTCAGTTAAGCGTCTGCCTTTGGCCCAGGTCATGATTCCAGGGTCCTGGGATCGAGCCCCACATCAGGCTCCCTGCTCGGCAAGAAGCCCTGCTACTCCCTCTCCCTCTGCCTCTCCCCCTACTTGTGCTCTCTCTCTGTGTCAAATAAATAGATAAAATCTTAAAAAAAAAAAACAAAAAACCAAACCAGTTGTCTTTGGGAGGGAAAAGCAGACTCCCCGCTAAGCAGAGGGCTCCATGTGGGGCTTAATTCCAGGACCCTGAGACCATGACCTGAGCCAAAGGCAGACACTTAATGGACTGAGCCACCCAGGTGCCTCTCAAAAAACGACTTCTGACCATTGACTTTGTATTCTTCAAGTGAGAGTATGTTAAATATTACTAGAATTGGGCGCAGAAGTAGACTCTCTGAGCGGTGTTTATTCACATAACAAATGTGTGAATGTGCCTGTAACATGCCAAGAGAACTTGAAACTAGAAGAACTATGATCATGTTCTTTATTTTTTAATTCATGACCATCAGTCCCTGGACATTCCTCCCTACCACCAAGCCATTTGCTAACGGTAATAATTACTGTCTTCCTCAGAGGGTTGAAATGAGAATCAAAGGAGATAATCTATGTGCAAGTGCTTTATAAACTATCAAGTGCCAAACACATATGAGGGATTATAATAGGAGGAAACGTGCCTTCCAAAATTAATCATTTAGAAAATGCTATGTTACTGGTTTCCATGTTCAAATTATGACAAATTCTTGTAGCCACAATGAAGCAAGGAATTGAAATCTGGGGGAAGAAACTAATAATTCAGCATTTTTAGTTCATGTGGGAATACTAATTCTACAACCCATACAGGAATATGCAGCATTTTAGGAGTTTATATTTAAAGTTTTTGTAACAGTGAATTGCCTAGAGATTCAACTATTCCTGGGGATTTTCTTATGATTCTGAACATCACCCAGTGCTCTGCTCCTCTCCTCATTCAACCTCCAGGAAACTTCCAGCTATCCTTTCCACTCTTAGGAAAACTAACGGGGAGTGTGACTTAAAATGGGTTCAGATTGCATCGGCATGATAAACCATGTCTATCTTATTCACGATGCGAATCCCTAAACATTTCCAGCCTATTCGGTGGAGTTCAACACAGTGGAACAGTACGAGGCAGGCAGGTGATGGTGATTTCTCGGTTCCCGATCCCTTTTCGGAGAAGGCGCCATCAGCTAGCTTCTCGGATCCCGGAGAAAGCAAGAAAGTCTGGAGGTTGGGTTGGGGGAGGAAGAAGCGGGCGACCAAACCCCTCCCCACCTCCCGGGAACACACGGGCGGGGCTGGTCGGGGGTCGGCGCTCCTCCCCGGGGCGGGGCTCGCGGCGGCTCCCTGCGTCCCGCAGCGCGCCCTGGGCTGCCGAGCGGGCTTGCGCGGCGGGCGGCGGGCAGTGGGCGCGATGTATCTCCGCAGGGCGGTCTCCAAGACGCTGGCGCTCCCTCTGAGGGCGCCCTTCGGCCCCGCGCCGCTCCGGAAGGACGGTGAGTGCCGCGCCGGCCCGGGCGTCCAAGCCTGAAGAGGACAGGCGCCAGCGCGCGGATTTGCCGGCGCCCGGGTAGCCGCCGGCACCCTGGGGGCCAAACCCGGCCCGAGCTGCAGAAGCCTGGGATTGAGGATAGGGGGAGAAATGAAGGAAAGTCGCGGGGAAGACGCCCCGAAGTTCTTGAAGACTTAGGAAGTAGGGAACTTTTCCAGCGCGGCTTCCTGGGTTCGAATCTTGATCTTGGGCAAGTGATTTCACCTGCTTCCTCATCTCTAAAATGGGGACAGTAATGGTTGTGAGTTTTAAATGAGTTAATATGCAGTTAAAAGCGCTTAGAAAAGTGCCTGGCTAACGTCCGCGTAGCTTAAAGTCCTTCTATTAGTATTGGTACCTGTGCGCTCTCCAACTTCGCGAGGAAGCAGAGGAACGAGTGGCACGATGGAGCTAGGCAGGGCGCGGGAGGGATCGCGGGCCCATTAAATGTTGGGTAAATACTCCTGAGTAAATAAACTCAAGGCTTGTCCGGGGCTCGGCAGCCAGAGCTCCGTGAGCCTTCGAATCGCTTTCCCTGGGTCTGCGCAGAAACCTGGAGCTATCCCAAGCTGTTCGGCTCAGCCGTCCCAGTATCTGTCACCTTTAGATGTGGGGATGCAGGGGAAGAGGTATAGTATTCAGAAATTTCCTAAAGGGGAAGTTGCAGTGCAAGCTGGAAGCTTCTTAACTAAAATTGGAGAAACGGGAAAGCGCCCACTCTAGCGCCTGGAACTTTGTCGGGGCTTAATAAGTGTGAGCATGCGTGTTTTTCCTCCCTGCGGCCAGCGGCCCCCGGGCCCGCTTTGCGCTCCCGCGCAGTTCGGCGGCAGCCCGCACCTTCCTAGACCTCCTCCGTCTCCCGTCTTTTCCGTCCCGCTTAGCCCAGCGGCTCTTAGACAACCTCTTGCGAAGTTCTTAGTTCTCCCTGCACTTCGCCTCACTTTCTAAGGCTTGTGAGGTACTTTAGCCCAGAGCGTGCATTCAAGCCGTGAGAGACACTCTCCTGCGGAAAAGTCCATGGGCCATTTTTTTTTCACTTTGATTAGCCCTGTGGTGGTGATGGTGGTGGTGGGAGGGAAGGAAGGTCTGTCCCGCTAGCTTTGTTTTTCTCTTAAAATGCTGGTAGGAAGTAGTTGCCTCACAAGTAACAGAATAAGGCATTTTTTCGTTTTCCTTGATCTTTATACTGAGTGAGAGCAGTTTTTTTCACTGACTAAATAGAAGCCATTAATTTTAAACATCTGAAGATAACGAGGCCGTTGTGATTGGGGGTGGGGAGGGGAGAAAGATGAGCCCCCTGACCGTGGCCTTCTGCGTTATCGCCCGCAGGCCCCACGGTCTTCAGGCACAAACACACACGCCTTTTGTAGCGACGCGTTTCAGATAATTTCTTCCCCAACTTGGGCTAAGGGAAGAGTAGGTTAAAAATTCTAAATCGGCAGTTAGCAATACTGGCTGTAGCAACAATTTTCATCTAATTACTTTTTTCGTAGCACTGATTCGTTTATGTATTTTAAGAACTATTACTGACTGGGAATCTGGTTTCAGTCATGGACATTAATTGACCTTTTTTATTGGTACTTTCTGTTTTGATGAAAAATAAAACTTTCAGTTTTATTGAAGGGTAAAATTTTAGCTGCGCCTCATCAAATTGTCTTCTCTGGCTTTTGCTTTTAAAAATGTAACTTTTTAATGAGTAATTGGGTTTGTAATAGATCATTGGAAGGAACGCACAAAGACAAAATAGAAGTCACCTGTAATCCTACCACTCAGGGAATACCCCCATTTACGTTTTAGTATATATAATGTTCCAGACCTTTTGTTCCTCTTGCATTTTATTCTTATGCACATTGCTTCCACAAACTGAGATAGTTCTGTATAGATTATTCTATAACTTTGCATTTAGTATATTGTAAATATTTTCTCACGTAAATAATATTCTCCTGCAAAACTTCTATTTCACGTTGTATGGATATGCTCAAATTCAATTAATCTTTATTAAATATTTCCCATTTCATTGCTCTTTTAAATAACTGCATAATTGTATTTGTGTTTAAGTCTTAAATCTCTGATGATTTTCTTTATTCCTTCCTATTTAAAATCATCTTTTTGATATTTATGTCTGGTTGACAACTACAGAAGCTACATATTCCCTGTTTCGTAACAGATGTATTTTCAAACCAACAAAAGCCCCACTACAGGTCAAAGCCATACCCTCTTACCATAGCCTCTTTGGGTACATTTGTGGGGAAAAAATATTTTTTTCCAAGAGATGGTCATTTATATCCAAACTAAAAACAGATACAGGAAATCTTCCCAGTATTGCTACTACAAAGATTTGTAATCAGTGCAAATGTCTTAAGATTTGCCCTCTGCAAATCAAAACTTCTTAGTCCTTGCATCCATCCTCTGTGTCAGGCCACATCCAATTACTTGGCACTTTTCCAGCTCTTCTGCTTTTGCACATGCTGTGCCTTCTGCCTCCGGTTCAGTTTTCTCTTCCCTTATTTATCTGACAATCTCCTCTACTTTCCTTCAAAACCCAGGTCATGTCTCTCCAGTTGTGACAGGTCCCTTGAGCCAACTAGCTGAGGTTTTTCACTGAATTTTCTTGCTGTTGTTGCAACTTCTACTTGCTTCTGTACCAGCATTTGTCACACTGCATTGCAGTTATTTGTCTACAATTATTTGTCTGTACCTTTGTTCCCTCCTTCTACATGGTGAGCTACTTGAGGCTAGGGACCTTGTATGTCTTGTTCACAGTTCTATCCTTAATGATTCTAACAAGGCCAAACACAGAGTAGGTGCTCAACATTTATTTATTCATTCAACAAATGTCTCTACTTTTTTATCTTTAAAATAAAGAATTTGAGCTATGTGAACTTTAAGCTCTTTCTAGCTGTGAGTCTATTATAAAAAATTTCAATTCCAGGGCATATGGTTTTATATATTTAGATGTAATAATACAGTACACTTACCTATTTCTATTAGTTTGTACAGAATTGTACTTCCATTTCAAACATGACCATGTTGTAATATTTTGTCTTAAACAAGCTTGTATCTGCCCATCTTTAAAGGCTTTTGTTAGAAAAATTAAGATTTCTGCCTACATAGACATTTGTATTATAGATTTATCAAAATGTGTTGGATTTCAGCATGTTTTATTTAACATGTAAGTTTTAAGTACAAATATATTTAATTCAATTTTTGGAAAAATAATCTTTTCCCCTGAATCCTGTGGTGGAGTACATACAGCAAATGGATTTCTTTTGTGTTTCGTTTGACTGTCAAAATTGTTCAGTGCTTTTGTCATTGCTCCTTACCCACGCCCGCACTCTTTCCAAGAAAAGCATGATGCTAACTAAGCACGAAGGTGACAGGTTTCATAAGTACTTTCAAATGAGATTGGGAAAATGTCAAATGGAATTATTATCCTACCTTGTGATACTGTATTCCCTTAAGCTAAAATCACTTGATGTTAATAGATTCTAAGTTCACCGAAGGGGAAAATTTTTTTAAGATATAATTATTTTAAATAGTTTTGCTTAATATCATGAAACTGTGTTTCAACTTGTTTTCCTAGCATCTCTTCGCTGGATGTCGTCTAACAAATTGCCTGGATCATCTGGATCAAATATGATCTATTATCTGGTTGTAGGTGTCACAGTCAGTGCTGGTGGATATTATGTAAGTGTTTAAGTAACCATAATGTTTAGGAATTCATATATTTTACAACCTATGGTAAAACTCAAAGCATTGTCAAGGTCAGGACATGGGATTAATTAAATATACAAGATTATGAAGATTTTTTTTTAGGTGTGAAATCAACATTTCTTACACAACATACACTGCCAAGTACGGGTGACTTCTAGTAAAAATGATGTCATTAGGGGCGCCTGGGTGGCTCACTTGGTTTAGTGACTGCCTTCGGCTCAGGTCATGATCCTGGAGTCCCGGGAGTTCCCTGTTCTGCGGGGAGTCTGCTTCTCCCTCTGACCCTTCCCCTTCTTGTGCGCTCCCGCTCTCTCTCTCTCATTCTCTCTCTCAAATGAATAAAATCTTTTTAAAAACTGATGTTATTATAAATACTAATAATAGTTGACATTCCAGTGTTTCTCATATGACAGACTCACGGCTCATTTAATAATTACAGTAATTCTATAAGTAGGTACTATTATTAACATTTAACAAGAACTGTTTTGAAAGATTAACTTAAATTAATAGACTGTTTATTTTTTAAAGATTCAATTTGTTTATTTGACAGAGAGAGACACAGCCAGAGAGGGAACACAAGCAGGGCGAGTGGGAGAGGGAGAAGCAGGCTTCCTACTGAACAGGGAGCCCGATGTGGGGCTCGATCCCAGGACCTGGGATCATGACCTGAGCCGAAGGCAGACGCTTAACCGACTGAGCAACCATGCGCCCAATAGGCTATGTTTTTAGAGCATTTTAGGTTTACAGAAAAATCTGCAGAAAGTACAGAGTTCTCATACCTCCTCTCAACACTCCCTCCATCAACGGTCTCACATTAGTGTGGCACATTTGTTACAACTGGTGAGTCAATATCAATACATTATAACTAAAGTCCATAGTGTACATTAGGGCTCACTCATGGTGTTGTACATTTTATAGGTTTGGACAAATATATAATGATATATCCATTATAGTAACAAACAGAATAGTTTCAGTGCCCTAAAAATTCCCTGTGTTCCACCTAGTCATTCTTTTCCTCCCTGAATCTTTTTACTGTCTCCATAGTTTTTATTAGTTTTATATATCTTTATATACCTTCATTATTTTAAAAAGGTAATATATTAAAAAAAAACTCAAAATAGACATATGCAAAATTAAAAGAATGTTTTACCCACTCCTCCTAGGTAATCACTATAAAATGAAGCTTTTGATATTATGATTTTGGAGCTAAAATGAGATATTTTTGCATTAAATAAGTAATAATAAGGCTATCAAATCATTCCCCATTTTTTTAAAGATTTTATTTATTTTTTATTAGAGAGTGAGCGAGAGAGAAACAGCATGAGAGGGGAGAGGGTCAGAGGGAGAAGCAGGCTCCTCGCTGAGCAGGGAGCCCGATGCGGGACTAGATCCTAGGACTCCGGGATCATGACCTGAGCGAAGGCAGTCGCCAAACCAACTGGGCCCCCCAGGCTCCCCGAATCATTCCCCATTTTGTCATAAACTTTCTAAATCAAAATTTAATCTTCAGTGTGAGTAAAAGTAAAATAAATATAAATTCTTTGGAAACCCTAAGAGTACACAAGAGTCACTACATTTTGGTTTGACCCTACAGAAATATGCATAATGGGACTTTTAGGCATAACTAGGAGCAGTTTGTATGTAGACGGTCAAACCAAAATAACTTATTCTAATCTTCAGAATTTTGAAAGCCTCAAGAAATCAGGAAACTTCAAATAGGTCACTTATATTATTGTCCTCCACTGATCTATCAGCTTTTACTCATACCCAGATTCCTTTCTTTCTACCATCTTTCTACTGCTTAATGTTGAATTCACTGCCCAGGGCTACTATTGTTGGATATAGGCCCTTGGAGAAACAAGAGATTGGGCTGGGCCATGTGATTATGTGGGGAGCTGGAAGATGGAATTTCATCTGGAACTCACTATACCCATAATTATGTTTATTAGTGCCAGACATGAACCTCTCCAGCTCGCTAAATCTTTCTTTGCAAAAGCAATCATAAACTGGACGGTTATAAACTGGCTTCTCATTCGAGCCCTTTCTGGCCTTTTTCTCTCACAGGGGAGTGGAAGTTGGACAAGGCAATGAGCTCCAAGTCCCTTTCCACCTCTAAGAATGTGTGGTTTTACTCTTGAATGTTGGAAGCCTTAATTCCCAAGAATCTTAGGCTCTTGTCAGGAGGAAATACAGAATGTGAGGCACTTGAAAACCTGTATTCTAGTCCCCCCTCCCCTTCTCCCATACTTTTAAATAAGTTCTCTACTAGATTTATCTGAATTGAATCCACAGATGCTCACTAGCCAGTTTTTCATTTCCAAGTAAAATCTTCTACTACGAGGGCCTCGTAGAATCTGAGAGAGGCCCAGGTCACGTCAGTTTTTTGAGGGTCTGAGGTATTTGTGGGATATTTTAAACGCTTACATGTAATAAGTAATATCATTCAGAAATAACTTCCAAAGTCTAGATTCGAGGCTTTCCAAAGGCCTCTTCTGACAGGTCTTTTTTCTACTGTGTTTGACCTCATTAGATTTGGAAAAGCTAGATTCTCTCGGCCACACATGAGTATGAATTATTCTAATATCATCATCTCTTCAATCCTACCTAAACTAGTCTTTTTTCCCACCTTGTGTTTTAGCCCCTTGAACAAAAAAAAAAAAAAGTAATGTTCCTTGGGATGTCGCTGCTGGGATGGCCATTTCAGGAATGTGAACCTCTGCACAGGCTCAGCTTTCGTGTACTGAGAGTGGAGGGTGTCGACCCAGCATAGTGGTTTAAGCTATCAGGAGCTCCCACCCTACTAGGAAAGTAGTCCCTGCTCTTATTCAGAAGTGGTAACTGTCATTCCTGCTGATCCTGTTTGTTCTGCAGGTTTCAAACCCAGATGATTCAAGTCTGAATTCACCAAACTCTGCGGGATTTGTTAGGGCCACTTCAGTATCCTCTCCACCCCTGAGGTTATAGATTTTCTGTGTTCACAGTCTAATTTTAACATTCTATAAAATGGTTTGTAATTTGCAAAGTATAATTTTTAATAAGATGCTTGGTTTTTGATAATTAAAAATTTAGAGAATACTATATATAAATATACAAATTTTAAAAATCTGTAATCCTGTTACTAAGTGATAAATCCCTAACAACATTTTTTTTAAGCTGAGATAATATAAACAATATTATCTAACTAGGGAAATTTTCATTTTTAAAAGATCATTGGCTAAAAACACAGGCCAGAGATGAGTACTTGAATATGAAATGAAAGGAAGCCTGCACATCAGATCTGTGATTGAGATAGCTTTATTCCTGATTCTGTTCCTGAAATAACCGATGGTCAGGTCACAGTGCTGCTTTTAAGGAATAACTCTAGCTTACATAGGAATCTTCTTTAGGGTCTACAAATATGCCATTTTGAAAGATTTTTTCCAAACTTTTTATTATGAGATGACTGAGTTTCACATGCAGTTATAAGAGCTAATACAGAGAGATCTCATATAGTCTTCACCTCATTTCCTCCAGTGATTAACATCTTTTATAGGGATAATCCAGTATCACAACCAGGAAACGAACATTGATAAAATCCATTGTCCTTATTCAGATTTCACCACATTTACTTGCACTTTTGTGTGTGTGTGTGTGTGTGTGTATATTTAGTTCTGGGCAGTTCTGTCATGTGTAGATTCATGTATTCACCACCACTGTCAAGATACAGGATCCCTTGTGTAGCCCTTTATAATTGCACTCAGTCTCGTTTGCCACTCTCCTCACTTCTTCCCAGCCCTGGCAACCAGGAATCTGTTCTCTAGTTCTGTAACTTTCCATTTCAAGAATGTTACATAAATGGAATTATAAGGTATATAATATTTTGAGACTGGCTTTTTTCACCCAGCATAATTACGTGGAGATTCATCCAAATGGTTATACCTGTATTGATAGTTTGTTCCTTTTTAATCCTGAGTAGCATTCTATGTTATGGATGTAGCACAGTTTGCTTAACCATTCATCTGTTGTAAGACCCCCAGCCTGATTCCAGCTTTTGGCTATTACAAATAAAGCAACCATGAACATTTGTGTACAGGATTTTGTGTGCACATAAGTTCCCATTTCCCTGGGATAAATGCCAGAGGATATCTGCAAATGCCTGTCAGAATATTTTGAGTCTAGCATAATTTGTTTTTCTTCTTTGTCTTCATCTTTGTATCTACTGTGTGTTTTCTGTTATCTTTGACTCCTGTTAGAGCATTAGTTTCTTTTCTTTTTAAAGTGTTCCACTTAATAGCAAAAGTTTCCAAAGGGGAAACAAAAGAGTAGGTGGGGTACATTGGTTTCTCTTCTTTAAATTGTATATACCTTTGAACTTGGCATGATGAATTTTAGAGCTCAAGAAATAAACTTAAGCACACATTTACTTTCAGACTTACAAGACAGTCACATCAGAGCAAGCCAAACACACGGAACATATAACAAATTTGAAAGAAAAAACCAAAACAGAGTTACATCCACTTCAAGGTAAAGTGAATTTATTATTTTTTTCTCTTAAGACATTGATTTCCATGATCTTAGTCTACCAATGAACACTATTTGCTTTTGGCTTCTTTACTAACTTGACAGAATGGCTCTGGGCAGGAGTTCATTCAGAAAGGGAAAGCCCAACCAAAACCTAAAGAATATTGTTATATGTTTTGGATGAGTGCATTAGATAAATGAAACGTTTTACATTTGTATTGCTGACCAGTGGCTTTGAATTCTTTGTGTGGTAATATTACTTTTCCCCTACTCAGGCTTCCATTCAGGCAAGCATAATTTTAGTATCTGTCTCTCTCAGCAGCTTCACCTCTCATTTCCCTCATTATTTTTTTTTAAATCATAAAACTAATTTTTGTTTCAGTTTTGGCTAAGATCGCCAGTGTGTCTTTGCCCAAAGTACAGTTGACATTAGTACAATCAGTCATGTCTATTAAGTCCCTCAGTTGATCTGATTGATAAAATGGCAACTCCTAGAACAGAAACTTTACATTTTCACCCTAATACGTATTTCTTGCCTTGAACTGCTTGCTTTAAATACTTTTTTCCATCTCAATTATAATGCCATTATTATCAATTACTATGATCACTATTTAGGGACAGATAATAGCTACTTATGAACCAATTTTAACCTTTTAGTCATGACAACAGTAAGAAATGGAATATCTTCAATAAACATTACTGAATATAATCATGAGAAGGCTGACTGTAATAATAATGAAATATAGCATTTCTAATATATATATATATATACATATATATATATATATACACACACACATACACACACAGAGAGAGAGAGGGAGAAAGAGAGGGGACAGCAGAGGGAGAGAGAGAATCCCAAGTGGACTCCCCACTAAGCCTGGAGCTTGCCGAGGGGCTCTATCTCACAACCCTGAGATCATGACCTGAGCCGAAATCAAGAGTCAGGTGCTTAACCTACTGAGTCACACAGGTGCCCCGCACTTTTGGTTTTAAATCCCTTATCATACACATGATTTTAATCAATCCTCACAATAGCTCTTTGAAGCAGATATTATCGATATCCCCATTTTACAGATGATAAAACTGAGGTTGAGAGAATATTTGTGATTGCTCAGTCATCAACTAGTAAGTTGGCTGCTCTTCCAGGCTATTTCACATGAAAGGTTGGCTGTTTATTTTCATGTTCTTTGTATTTAAATCAATAATATTTGTAATTTTTTAAAAAGATTTTATTTATTTATTTTGACAGAGAGACAGCAAGAGAGGGAACACAAGCAGGGGGAGTGGGAGATGGAGAAGCAGGCTTCCCACCGAGCAGGGAGCCCGATGCGAGGCTCGATCCCTGGGATCATGACCTGAGCCGAAGGCAGACGCTTACCGACTGAGTCACCCAGGCACCCCTGTAATTTTTTTCTTAAGTTTAACAGGTTCAAAAAGGCTTATGAAAAAGCAGATCCCCATTTTCCCTCCCCAAAGGCAATCAGTAATACCAGCTTCTTTGTATCCTCCTAGAGAGCCTTACAAATAAAAACTATCTAGGTATGTCCTACCTCCTTTGGTCCTAGCACAAATAGTACCATACGGTATACATTGCTCTTTTCCTTGCTTTTTTTCACTTAACAGGCTACCTTGAAGACCATTTCATATCAGTCCTTATAGCTTTGTCTCGTTTTTACAAATGACTGCGCAGACTTCCACTGTATTCCCATGCTCTTTAAATTAACCCTTTGCTTAATGGACTAAATCTTAAAGGTAAAAAAGAGAAGGTGGCGGGAGCTGAGAAAGCAAGTTCAGAAGTGTGTGAAGTATCTTTCGTGGAAGTTCCGGAGGTAGATGCGGAATATAGTCCAGATGCTACAGTTGCAGCCAGAGAGGAGGCTTCAGCCTGTCCTGGGGATACGGAGGCCGCTCCGGCAGAGACCGACGCGGTCAGTACTGAAGCGGGGCCAGAGGCGACCGCCGCAGCGCTGGGCGCAACCGCACAAGGCAGCGCTGAAATGCCCTCGGAGGCTCAGAATGCAGCTTTGGATGAAACTGTTGCCGGAAATGATGATAAAGGGACTACAGAGAAGGAAAGTTCTGGTGAAAGTGCTGAACGAGAAGAAAAGAATCGCCCCGTTGAATCAGAATCCTCTGCTGGGGTTGATTTACAGGAGGAAGCCAGCGTTGGTTCCGACGCCGCCCTGGCTCAAGGCTAATCTCCCGCTGATGGACACTTGAGCAAAAAAAATGCCATCGAGTGTCCGATAGGTGCTTTCGTAGTTTCAGTCATCGTAGTTTTAGAATAGGCTTCTTTGCTAGAAAACTTGAATGTGCCTTGAAGATTTTTGGTATCTACTGATAGATTTGGGGATTGAGAGACTTGAGATTTTACGTGTCTGAATAGTTTCCTGCTCTCTGAGATCCGAATACGACATTGCAGTAAAAAACTTACCGAGTTCCATCTTTGCATTTAAGTTTCATATCATAGGAAGTGAGCTATCTCTACAATCTGCATTCACTTTAATTTTTGCTATACCTGATTCTTTATGTTAATCTAGGTTCTTGAGTTTTGATTTGAACTCATTAAAATAAAATTGGAAAATCTTTAGTGCTTCTGTTTTTATTCACTAATATTTATATGTATAAATAATCTATAATAAAGATCATGTATAATAAAATATATGTTATAGTATCGATTGTAGATTAATATACAGCATCGCGTGAACAATCAAAGAAAACATCTATGGACAACTCTGCATATAGCAATGTACATTACATCTCTGTTCTCCTGTCTATATTGCATGGGGGACTGTGCCAACATCTTTAATTTCAGTTTATTTCAGTTCAAATAATGTTTAGTGAGAATTTATACTTAGTACCAGGAATCAATCCATTCATTCATTCATTCATTCATTCATGTATTCAGCAAATACTAAGTGAGCACCTATAACCTACAAGGCACTGTTTTAAGTGTTGAGGTTTAAAAAAAAAAAAAGACAAAAATTCCTACCCTTCCCAGCTATATTCTAGAATATGATCAAAAGAAACAAGCTACATAAGAAAACTATATAGTATGCTAGATACTATATAGGCATTTAAAAAGAAAAGTAATGAAAGGGAAGGGATTCATAAGTGTTGGTTAGGGGTGAAAGGTGTAATTTTAGATGGGATGGCCAGAGACAGCCTTACTAAGAAGATGTCTAGTAAGTAAAAACCTGAAGGATGTACAAGGGACCCTAGTCATGAAGACGTGGGGGGATAGGCGAAGAAGAATCATTCCAGATGAGGGCACTGAGCAGTGCAAAGGATCTGAAACATGAACATCCTATAGAATTTGGGGAATTGTAAGGTGGTCAAGTGGCTAAAGTGGAGTGAAAAGGAGAGAGAGTAGTTGGAGATGATTTCAGAAAAAATGCAATGGTTCTGCAGAGATGGGCTGTATCAGGCAGGGTCTTGTACGATTTGCGCTATTACTTGGAGTAAGTTGGGGTGTTGTAGTGGATGCTTCTGATGCTCTGCCTAGATCCCCTTACCTGGGCCATTTACTCCCAGCTTCTGTGAGTGGTACACACACACACACACACCCATCCTCACCCCAGACAGCTCACAACCAGTGACTGACTGCCACAATGGTACAGAAGGTGGGGCCAAGTCTGTGCGACAACTCATGCTCCGGAGCTCCCTGGGGGGCTCAGGTTGAAGCTGTTTCCAACCTAGATTACAACTTAGCTTTTCTCTCCTGTCCTATCCTGCTTTCCTCCCTACTATTCTCCCAACAACACCTCTTTAAAGATCACTTGCCCCCAAATCCCTGCTCTGTTTTTAGGGAACTCGACCTAAGATAATTGGTAATGGATGTGGTCCTTGAACGCAGACACTAAGAATAGGATTCTGGAATTGTGTCACTCCAGTTCAAAGGTAACAAGGACCTCATCACTGGTGGTAGGTGGAAGATTGCTAGTTCCTGGCATTCTGTGGCGATGTGATTGCTGAGATTTTCACCTATGGTAAACTAGGGTGGAATATACAGGCATACCTCAGAGATATTGTGGGTTTGGTTCCAGACCACTGCAATAAAGTGGGTATTGCAATAAAGCAAGTCAAATGGATTTTTTGGTTTTTCAGTGCATATAAAAGTTATGTCTAGGGGCGCCTGGGTGGGTCAGTTGATTAAGAGTCTGACTCTTGATTTCAGCTCAGACAGTGATCTCAGGGTTATGACATCAAGCTGCCTTAGTTGGTAGAGCATGTGACTCTTGTTCTCGGAGTAGTGAGTTCAAGCCCCATGCTGGGTGTGAAGCCTACTTAAAAAAAGTTTTGTTTGCTAAAAAAAAATGCTAATCATCATCCGAGCTTTCAGTAAGTAGTAATCACTGATCACAGATCACCATAACGAATCTAATAATAATGAAAAAGTTTAAAATATTGTGAGAATTACCAATATGTGACACAGACACACAAAAATGAGCAAATGCTGTTGGAAAAAAATTGTGGCAGGTGCCTGGGTGGCTCGATGGGTTAGGCATCTACCTTCAGCTCAGGTCATGATCCGAGGGTCCCGGGATTGAGGTCTACATCGAGCTCCCTGCTCAGCAGGGAGTCTGCCTAGCCCTCTCCTTCTGCCCCTCCCCCTCCCCCCAGCTCATGTGCTCACTCTCCCTCTTTCTCCAACAAATAAATAAAATCTTAAAAAGAAAAAAATGGTGGTGATAGACTTGATCCATGCAGGGTTGCCAACAAACCTTCAGTTTGTGAAAAATGTAATATCCATGAAGCACAATAAAATGAGGTATGCCTTTAGGTGGAAGGTAATACACTGTTGGCTTAATGCCTCTGGAATTTGAGAAGTACAAAGAAACCTGAACTATATGGACTTAATCATTGCAGAACAATGTTTAACTCTGAGATAAGGATGGTACCTTGGGTTTGTTCTGAATTTGTCTCAGCGTCAACTCCGCATTAGACTCATAAGCCTAAGGCCTATGGCACAATTAAGGGATGCTGTTTTACCAAACATTCTGTAAGATAAAGCAGAAACACTACTCAGTACCACATTTATGACTTCAACATCCACACAAAAACACATTCTTCACCACTGTTTTGCCTGGGATGGTTTCTGCTGCAAATAACAGAAACCAACTCAAAATGGGTTAAACAACAAAGACAGTTAACTATTACCTAACTAGGTATCCAGAGGTTGAGCTGCTCCAAGGCTGGTTTATTCTGTGGTTCAGTCATCAAGAACCAGGTTGTTTCTATTATTCTACTCTACTATCAAGAACGTTTGGCTTTATCCTTGGTAGGCTTTCCTCATATTCACAGGATGAATCACCTCAATTCTAAATATTTTATTCAGATACAATAATGTCCACCAGAAGTCTTTCAAAAAGAAGAATTTCCTCATCTTAAAAAAATTTTTAAATACATTTTTTTCTTTTTAACATTTTATTGTGGAAAATTTCAAACAAAAGTAGTGAGAACAGTATAAGGGGAATCTTCACGTGCCCTACATCCCAATTACCAATTATCAAGTCTTGGCAAATCCTGTATTTTTAGTCCCACCCACTTATCTTCCACTACCACCGCTGCCCGTATGTAAAATAACAATGATAACAATTCTTTATATTACTAATTATCCAGTCAGTGGTCAAATTTCTTCAACTGCCTCAAAAGGGTTTTCCCTCCTCCAGTTTGTTCTTTGTTTTTAAAAGTCCACAAATAGCAGTTGGTCAATATTTGCTTAAGTTCCTTTTTTTTAAGATTGTATTTATTTATTTATTTATTTTAGAAAGAGAAAGAGCCTGAGTGAGGGTAGTGAGGCGCAGAAAGGGAGGGAGGGGGAGGGGAAAAAAAATCTCTAGCAGACTCCACGCTGAGCCCAGAGTTTGTCACGGGGCTCAATCCCATGACCCTGAGATCATGAACTGAGCCAAAACCAAGTCAGACACTTAACTGACTGAGCCACCCAGGTGCCCCAATATCAAATTGCTTTTTTTTAATTGTATTTATTTATTTGAGAGAGAGAGAGAGAGAGAGCAAGAGCAAGGAGGAGTGGCAGAGAGAGAGGGAGAAGCAGACTCCCCCCTGGGCCCGACTTGAGACTTGGGATCATGACCTGAGCTGAAGGCAGCCGCTTAACCAACTGAGCCACCCAGGCGTCCCCAAATTTCTTAATAACAATATAAACTACTTACTTGGTTCTAAAGTCAAATCTATGGAACAAGATATATGCAGAGAAGTCTACCTTTTTATTTCTTCCGTTCCCCTATAAACTATAAAACTTTGTGGGATTTTTTCCTTCCATATTTTTGGGTAAACTATACACACACACACACACATTTCTTACCCTCCTTTCTTAAACAGTAGTACACTATACATATATTTCTCCACCTTGCTTTTTTTTTCGTTTAACTATGCACCTGGAGTTCACTCTATTATAGTATGTGGAGAAAATCCTCATTATTTTTTTTTAAGATTTATTTATTTATTTCAGAGAGAGCATGGGGGGAAGGGCAGAGGGAGAGAGAGCATCTCAAACAGACTCCCCACTGAGCACAGAGCCCGACCTGGGGCTCAATCCCATGACCCTGAGATCATGACCTGAGCCGAAACCAAGAGTCAGATGCTTAACCAACTGAGCCACCCAGGTGCCCTTAGTTCTCATTACTTTTTACAGTTGCATGGAGCTACATGTGTGGGTACCATGATTTACTCAACAGTCTCCTACTGATGGACGTTTGAGTTGTTTCTCTTCTTTGCTATCATAAACATTGCTGCAATGAATAGCTTTCTGCAAAATGTCTTTTTGCATTTTTGCCAGTGTTTCACTAGGATAGATTTCTGAAAGAGGGATTGCTAGATCTAATACATGAGTAATTTTTCTATCTATTGCAAAAGTCCTTCCATAGGAGTCATACTATTTTGTATTCCCAAAATAACCAATGGATATGACTGCCTGTTTCCCGTCAGAGTATATTGTCAAACATTTGGATTTTTGATAGGTATGATAGATAAAAAATTATATTTCAGTGTGGTTTTAATTTGCATTTTCTTTATTAAGAGTGAGGTTGAACATTTTTTCATTTGGTTAAGGGCTATGTACCTTTCTTTTTCTGCAAAGTTTCTGTTCATATCTCCAATGCATTTTTTTAAAAATTTTTCTGCGGGGGCAGAGAGCAAGGCAGAGAGAGAATCTTAAGCAGGATCCACGCCCAGTGCAGAACCCAACTCGGGGCTCCATCTCACGACACTGAGATCATGACCTGAGCTGAAGTCAGGAGTCAGTGGCTTAACCAACTGATCCACCTAGGTGCCCCTCCAATGCATTTTTTATAGTGTTGTTAGTCCATTACTTTTCTATTTTTAAGAAACTCTTTATGTGCTAGAGATAGCAAACTCTTGTCTGATATAAATTATAAGTATTTTCCAAGTTTGTCATCCATCTTCTTACTTTACTTATGGTGTTTTTGTAGTACAAGAAATTTTATTTCTACATAATTAAACTGATCAATCTTTTTCCATATTGTTTGTGGAATTTGAGTCATCGTTAGTGTGGTAGACTGGGAAAAAGCAGTCACATATTCTTTCCACATATACTCCAGTGAAGTA